GATTTAGGTACATAAACATGAATTTAAACTTCATATATTGATCTGTTTTAACAAATGGATTATGTATAATTTGAATTATTGTAGCCTACTAGTTTAACTAACAACAAGAATAAGGTACATGACTGAGCTAAACACTGGAGGAATGCACTTGATTTTTACATCTTGTCTATAGCGCCCTCTGGTGACTGACTGATATAAACTGGCTGTATTATGTCTAAGATACTTAGCATTTCAGAAGTGACAATACTTACTGTACTTTTGGTTGTTGTTTTAAATATTCCCTTTTTTCAAATGGTCTATTTTTTTTTAAAACAGTCTTTAAAACATCCCCCATGTTTGTAATGGTATTTGCAGTGAAAACCATTAGAACGTCTGTGATGGATTCTATTGTTTTTTCAGCAGGGCCATGAGACATTCATACATCCTGACAGCTTTCAACACCCATCTGTTGTGTGTGGAAATCACCCAAAATTTACAGTCACAGTCAAGTGGGCCAGAAGATTTCTAGAAAGCATCTGGCTTTTATAATAATCACTTCAACAAGGTAACTAAGGCACATGACAGTGTCAAAGACATCACGTGCACTAGATTTTAAATCTTGTCTATAGCGCCCTCTGGTGACTGACTGAAATAAACTCGCTGTATTATTTCTAACGTTTCAGGTGCAAGGAGTTTGAACAAAGTGGCAATCCTTACTGTACTGATAAAAAAAAAAAAAAACATTATTTAATATTTTCGTATTTATTTTTTGTATTTGTATTTGTTAAGTCTTTTCTTAACTTATTTCGTCTCGCGGTGATGACGTCATCGCACTGTCCGTTTGTCTGAAGTGAGATGAGTTTTGTGGTATATTTACACAAACAAAAAAAGATATGTTTTAGTTACATGATTAAAATTGAAATATATACTTTAGACGTTACTGCTAGATACGTCCTAATGAGCCTGTGAGGAGCGGGGCGCGGCTTTTTAAATCCACCACAAGAGTTACAAAAACGTGAGTAAGTTATCTTGCACAGTCTCTTTTATGTATCTATAGACTAATAATATGTAGGTAAATATGACTCTGGAAACATGAAACATTTTAACAGTTTTATGATTATTGTAGTTACTGCACATACAGAAGACTAACAAATTAAGGATCTTACACTTTTGTTGTTATGAATATAGTTAGTAGAGATTATATTAAAGGGGTCATATGATGCTGCTAAAAAGAACATTATTTTGTGTATTTGGTGTAATGAAATGTGTTTATGCGGTTTAAAGTAAAAAAAAACCACATTATTTTCCACATACTGTACATTATTGTTTCTCCTCTATGCCCCGCCTTCTGAAACGGGGGTGTGGCTGACTCTTAACTTTTATAAAGAATATCTCTTTGGATTTGAGACTTTAGTCTTTGCAAATGTACAGATCTTCTTTATGCACCAAGAGCTTGTAACACTCCAAAGAGAAAGGAAAAAATGAAATCGCATCATATGACCCCTTTAAAATGTAAAAACGTTTCACAAGAAAAGGAGCCCTTAATGAACACATGAAAATCCACAGTGGGGAGAAGCCGCACACATGTGATCAATGTGGGATGAGTTTCAGAAAAAAAGGATCTGTTAAGGAACACATGACAATCCACACTGGAGTGAAGCCGTTCGCATGCGACCAGTGTGGAAAGAGTTTCAGAATTGCCGTGTGGAGTAGTTTTGTGATGGATGGATGCACGTTTTTGGGCTTCAAAAACAGGGGCACCATTCACTGCCATTATACAGCTTGGAAGAGCCAGAACAATTTTAAATATAACTGTGATTGTGTTCGTCTGAAAGAGGAATGTCAGATACGCCTAGGATGCCTTGAGGGTGAGTTTTCATTTTTGGGTGAACTATCCCTTTAATAAATGCATCAAAATAAACATTTTATAGCAGTTGTATTTTTTCTGATATTACTTCAGGGTTCACTTTTTAATGTCTCTAAATTTTATGATTTACTCAAAATTAAACCTATCTTACTTTTATTTTAGACCTGATGGAAGAGAAGGAGGAGAGTGAAGAACTGAGTGAAGTGGAGGAGAAACGTCATCATGTCAAAACTGATCTCAGAAAATCGTTGAGTCGCTCACAGACTAAAAGTAATTTATTGAAAAGAAGAGCCAAAAAGTCTTTCACCTGCCATCAGTGTGAGAAGAGTTTAACAGAAAAACAAAGCCTGAAGACACATGAAAATCCACACTGGGGAGAAGCCGCACACATGTGATCAATGTGGAAAGAGTTTCACATTAAAAGGAACCCTTAATGAACACATGAAAATCCACACTGGAGAGAAGCCGTACGCATGTGTTCAGTGTGGGAGCAGTTTTGCACATCAAGGGGGCCTTAAAAGTCACGTGAAAATCCACACTGGAAAGAAACCACACACATGTGATCAGTGTGGAAAGAGTTTCAGACAAAAAGGATCTCTTAAGGGACACATGAGGATCCACACTGGAGAAAAGCCGTACTTGTGTGATCAGTGTTGGAAGACTTTCAGAAAGGCGTGTACTTATAAATCACATCTGCGTTCTCATTCTGGAGAAAGACCGTTTTACTGTGATCAGTGCGGTAAAACATTTTTTAGGACAGATGCACTGAAGAGCCACCTGAATGTTCATTCAAAGGAGAAGCCTTACATGGGTTCTTTGTGTGGAAAGAGTTTTTCTCAGCTGGGTGCTTTAAAAATACACCAGAAAAGACACAATAGTGTGAAGGATCATATGTGCTTTGATTGTGGGAAGACTTTTGTTAGAGATGCTGAACTGAAACTGCACCGGAGAATCCACACTGCTGAAAAACCTTACCAGTGTTCACACTGTGACAAGAGATTCAGTCGGTCACAATATGTGAAAATACATGCGAGGATCCACACTGGAGAGAAACCTTACATGTGTTCACACTGTGACAAGAGATTCTATCATTCAGGATCCCTGAAAGTACATGAGAGGATCCACACTTGAGAGAAGTTGTATCGCTGCCTTCCATGTGGGAAGGTTATCTTCTTAACTCAGTCATCCAAAAACCAAAAGGTTTGAAATAACAGTATAGTTCATCTTTAGATCCAGAAATGCAATACTGTGTCCTCACCAAACATGACCCAATAAAACATTGAGCAATAAAATCTGTGATTTCTATATAAATCTGTGACAGGACAATGAAACATCGTCTGAAGTTGTTACCGTGAACAGAGTTAATCTTCAAGACCAACAGTTTCAAGTGTGAGATGAAGATAATAAACTCAAAAGACAGATCTCCTCCCAAATGAACAAAATCGTTATTCTTGTTTAAGATTTTACTTCGTATTATTTAAATCATTATGCTTTATTAAGATTTTGTTCCATTCACATTTCTTTTTATGGAGTGATTTTAGTGAGTGAATAAAATAAAAGTAGAATAGAGTGTGTACATTGTTCGAGTTGTTTTTTTTTTGTTAACAACTCTTTATTGAATTTTCTTCTGGGATGTGCATTTGTTACAATTTAATCAGACATGGCTGAAATACTAGGGTATAAGATGTGTTATGTCAATGCTTGAACAAAGAGATATCTTTAATCTAGACTGAAACACATCATTCAGCCCAAAAGATCTGAGTGCTGGAGCTTAAGAAAGCTTTCCTTTCCTGAACAAAGTAAAGCAAAGTGTTCTTGATACAAGAACAGACTTTGCTATATTTATATGATATCTGTGAGTAAACTTTTTTTTTTATTGAATTTTCTTCTGGGAATAGTAATATAAAACAAACAGCAACTGTGTAAATTTAGAACCCACCGCAACCCTGGTAGACTTAAAAAGAAAAATAAATAAATAAATAAAAATAATAATCATAATCATAAAAATAAAAATATGTATATATAAAAAATAAATAAATAAATAGTAATAATAAAAATAAATAAATTAATAATAATAGATAAATAAATAGCAATAAAATAATTTTTACAAAGATTTTAGAAAAGCTGACACCACATTAAAAGCTGAATGCCATAAATTTACACTTTTCACATTAGATCCATGTATACGAGAAGTTGAGAGTTCCATCGAGATAATGTCCAACAAATACACATTGTTCGAGATGTTTTTGACTGTCTTGTTCCTACTAGAAATGAAGTTCTTTGCTGCATGTAGTACACACATAAGCTTATATTCTCAAGTAACTGTCGTGCTGTTAAGTGATTTAAGTGGTCTAAAGTCACATAGGTCATAGACGCCCTTCTTTAGTCTATTCTCTGTTTAAGAACAGATATTAGATTCATATTTACTAAGAATGATGAATAAGAAGAAATAAACATTTTGTGAATACCGGTGATTGTGTGAGTCTTTCTGTGTCTCTTCTGTTTTGGGGAAAAGAACTGCAACTTGCTGAAAGAAACTTCACCTTGAGGAAGAGTTGTGTGTTGGCACATGCAATCTCTTTTCCTTTGAAGAGTAGAGCTGACTCTTGCTCTTGACATTGTAAACACATTTCTTTTCAGTAAAGTTTTCTTTGATTGATAGAAATCTTTGGTCTATGAGTCTTAACTGTACTTCCTCTACAAAACGTATCACTCTTGTTTCATTTACTCTCGTTCATAAAGGAAAGTAGAGCACTTTTTACGTGTAAATATTCACTACCAAAAACGACTAAAAAGATGGGTGTAATTTTGGATTTGTTTTGATGTAGGCTACTATTGATGTGCTATTGGTGTTTTATTCATCTCATATTGTAGAAATTGTGTTTTTATATTCTTTAAGCCATCGTACAGAGATAGAAACAATATAAAATGGGAGGAAAAATTATATTGCAAAATTATAGCGTTCTCACAAGAAACTTCGAGTTCTTTTGTGATAGAAAAAATAAATTCAGTTTGAGCTAGTAGATATTCTACAAAATACCTGAATGCTATTTATTTTTCAATAAATAAAATAACTAAATTAATTGAGAGGGTATAAAAAGGAAGGGAAAATATGTTATTCTGATGCACACTCCATACCAGTCGGTGGCGGTAATGCACCAATTCGTTTCCAATTAAACCTCAAAAGAAGCAGTGGAAGCAGCCTTTCTGTGAAGGGTCGCTTCTGTATTGTTTTCATCGGGTAAGCTCTACTTGTGCGTCTGTTCTGACGTCTGCAGGCTGAAATAAATATTTAGCGTAGAAGCCAACGATGTGCGAAACAAGTTCATTCTTAAACACATGAGCAATCTTGTGTGTTTGTATTTGCGTGTGAAAGATCGCGTTTTATGTTTGGAGCGATAGTTTTATTGTTAACTGAATGTCACTTGATCAAAAGTCGAGGTGTGATCTGTGAGGGGAATTCATGGGAATCGGTCACAAGTAGTGCTGCAGCGATTTTATTTGAAAACTATCTTTTGTCATTTACCTTTGAAAATCAAATCTGTAGTAATTACTTTGTTAAAATCAAAGTATATATTAAGTGTTACTGCTAAATACTTCATATTGAGCTTTAAAGAGCTATGCAGACCTTTTTTAAATCCATCATCAGATAAATGAATATGCAGATAAATTTGAAGGAAGTTTGACACCAGAAACATGAAATTAGAAAACCTTAAATAGCACGAAAAACCACTAATTTCATGTTTGATATAATATATTATGCTGCTGTATGTAAGTTATTTACCAGTTGTGGTGGTTAATAAAATGTGACCCTGGACCACAAAACCAGTCATAAGGGTCAAATCTGTAGTAATTACTTTGTTAAAATCAAAGTATATATTAAGTGTTACTGCTAAATACTTCATATTGAGCTTTAAAGAGCTATGCAGACCTTTTTTAAATCCATCATCAGATAAATGAATATGCAGATAAATTTGAAGGAAGTTTGACACCAGAAACATGAAATTAGAAAACCTTAAATAGCACGAAAAACCACTAATTTCATGTTTGATATAATATATTATGCTGCTGTATGTAAGTTATTTACCTGTTGTGGTGGTTAATAAAATGTGACCCTGCACCACAAAACCAGTCATAAGGGTCAATTTTTCGAAATTGAGATTTATACATCTTCTGAAAGCTGAATAAATAAGCTTTCCATTGAGGTATTGTTTGTTAGGATAGGACAACATTTGGCCGAGATACAACTATTTGAATATCTGGAATCTGAGGGTGCAAAAAAATGTAAATATTAAGAAAATCGTCTTTAAAGCTGTCCAAATGAAGTTCTTAGCAATGTATATTACTAATCAAAAATTAAGTTTTAATATATTTACTGTAGGAAATTTACAAAATATCTTCATGGAACATGATCTTTACTTAATATCCTAATGATTTTTGGCATAAAAGAAAAATCAATCATTTTGACCCATACAATGTATTTTTGGCTATTGCTACAAATATACCCCAGCGACTTAAGACTGCTTTTGTGGTCCAGGGTCACAAATGGTGTCACATAGAAAGGAAGCTGGAAAAACTACTGTAAAGATGAGTGTCATTTGAATTTGTTTTGCTGTAAGAGTTTGTCATTACTCAAAAATACAAAAAAATAATAATAATATAGAACAGTTTTATACTTTTTAGCATGTATCTAGAATCAAATAATCTGTTTCTATTGCAAACCCTGATAGCACACGTACATCATGGAGATCTCTATTTGACGTCTGCATTTACATCTGCAAGACATTTTTTTTTTAGCGTTTGCTCATCTGCAATACGTCTATAGGACGTTTCCTATCACAGATGTCAAATAGACATTTAGAAGATGTCTTTAAGATGTTTATGATTTAGAATGTATGTAAAACTGACATCTTAAAGATGTTTGTACACAGCAGATGTTTTCCAGATGAAGCGATCTTTAACAGACATCTTGCAGACGTACGTGTGCTGTCTGGGAACACTTAAAATAAAGTGATATCTGTACTGATGATGCTGTAAGGCTCGTTTCAGGAGTATCACAGAGCTGCTTAAAAGTGTCTTTATTTCCATTTCAGTAGTTCCGCTTTTCACCTCATTCATTATGCTGATGTGTTCAGATCATGCTTAAATTGCTTCTCAAAGCTCATTTCATTGGTGCAGCAGACCAAGACAAACTACATGATCACTACTTTTGATATTTACAAGATATACATCTAACTGCATTTATTTTCTCATAGTCTGTGATAAACCACATTTCATATAACGACAAATAACTAAAAACAGTGAAAAAAGTTCATGTAAATGACAAGTTAAATTACCTTTAACTCAGTTGGACTGTGATTTGTGGCTTACAAATCTCTACACGTTTCTTTTGTAATCTATCTCTTTTAAAGGGTTAGTTCACCCAAAAATGAAAATTAGCCCATGAATTACTCACCCTCAAGGCATCCTAGGTGTATATGACTTTCTTCTTTCAGACGAATCCAATCGGAGTTGTATTAAAAATTGTCTTTGATCTTCCAAGCTGTTTAATGGCAGTCAGCGGGTGTTGCAGTGCATCAGTCCAAAAAAAGTGAAATAAAGCTCATCCATACATAATAAAAAGTGCCTCACACGGCTGTGGGGGGTGAACAAAGGCCTCCTGTAGCGAATCGATGCATTTTTGTAAGAAAAATAACCATATTTAAAACGTAATAATCACTTTAATCTAGCTTGCGCCAATAGTTGTACACGGAAGCAGTTCCGGGCTGATGACGTATGAGGTCGGCGTTCATGGGCTAAATTTCATTTTTGGGTGAACTAACCCTTTAAGTTTCTGCTTGCATGGAATAAGTTGTAATGTAACTTCTTGTAATGTACACACACCATTCGCTACTTCTGAAGGGATACAAATAGCCTGAACATAGATGGTTGGGTTATTCTTCTGTTTTTTTAATTCTTACATTATATTTAGATTTTTTTAAGTTTCTTTGTTAGTAAGTTTGTATGGATTTAGAACAATAAAAATAAATTAAGTAACTTTTTAATTTAAGTAACAATTTGATATACTGATAGTTAAACAAAATATAAATGCTTACAATGTTCGAATTCATGAAAACGTCAATTAAGTAACTGATTTACATTTGATTTTAGGCAGATCTGCATCTCCTACCACAGAACAATTCAAAAAGAGTCCAAGTGATATAATTTCCTGTAATTTCCTGCAATTTCCACTTGTGGGGTGTAGTGACATCAACTTGAATTTGAAGATATGTTCTGATTTTTATAAAGAGGAAAATTATATAACAAGGTTGAAGGAACAATGCTATTGCGTAATATTGTATAGCATTTTTCTACTTTCTGTTATTACTTCAAGGTTCACTTTTATGTCCTTTTCCTTCACATTTCTCGCTTGGTTTATATGATTTGCTGAAAATTAAACCTTTCTTACTTTCATTTTAGACCTGATGGAAGAGAATGCAGAGAGTGAAGAACTGAGTGAAGTGGAGGAGAAACATCATGTCAAAATTGAAGAAAAATCTTTGAGCTGTTCGCAGACTACAAGTAATTTTTTATTGAAAAGAACAGCCAGTACATTTTTTACCTGCCCTCAGTGTGGGAAGAGTTTTCTAAACAAGCAAAGTTTTGAACTTCACATGAGAGTTCATAATGGAGAAAAACCATTCACATGTGATCAATGTGGGAAGAGTTTCACACTAAAAGGAACCCTTAGGGATCACATGAAGATCCACACTGGAGAGAATCTGCACACATGTGAGCATTGCGGGAAGAGTTTTACAAAAAGAGGAGCCCTTGCGGATCACATAAAAATCCACACTGGAGAGAAACCACACACATGTGATCAGTGTGGAAAAAGTTTCACAAAGAAAGGAGCCCTTAAAGATCACATAAAAATCCACACTGGAGAGAAACCGCACACATGTGATCAGTGTGGAAAAAGTTTCACAAAAAAAGGAGCCCTTAAAGATCACATGAAAATCCACACTGGAGAGAAACCACACACATGTGATCAGTGTGGGAAGAGTTTCAGAAAGTCATGCACTTTTAAATCACATCTGCTTTCTCATTCTGGAGAAAGACCATTTAACTGTGATAACTGTGGTAAGAATTTTTTTAGGGCGGATGCCCTGAAGGACCACTTGAAAGTTCATACAAAGGAGAAGCCTTATGTATGTTGTTTTTGTGGAAGGAGTTTTGGTCAAATAAGTAGTTTAAAATTACATCAGAAAAGGCACAGCGGCGTGAAGGATCATATGTGCTTCGAGTGTGGAAAGACTTTTGTTAGAGATGCTGAACTGAAGCTTCACCAGAGCACTCACAATGGAGAAAAACCTTTCCAGTGTTCACACTGTGACAAGAGATTCAAACGGTCAGAATATCTGAAATCACATGAGAGGATCCACACTGGAGAGAAGCCGTATCACTGCCCTCCATTTGCATGGGTTGTTCTCAAATGAGCAATATATTTAAAAAGTTTTATTATATACCATTTGCATTTGCATGGGTTGTTCCCAAAAGAATAATATATTAAAAAAGTTTTATTATATACCATTTTGTTTAAAATATATTTCAAATCATTATGCTTCCATATGATTTTTGTATTTTGTCCAATTTAAATTTGAATTTCTTATAATGCATGTGTATCTCATTTCATTACTTTTTATGGAAACCATACATTTCTAAAGTTTTCTGTGCTCATATAAGCAGAAAAAGAGCAGCTGGAACAAAGACAAGCAGTTTGACTTAGTGCAGTCCTTTCTCTTACTTTTGTTTGATGTGTAATTTTGAAGAGTTCTTGTCGCTGTAAAGAATTTGGCACGCTTTTCATAATCTATTGTCAATTCCCTGATAGCACACGTACATCACGGAGACGTCTATTTGACGTCTGCATTTACATCTGCAAGATGTATTTTTTAGTGTTTGCTCATCTGCAATACGTCTATAGGACATTTCCTATCAGGTGTCAAATAGACGTTTAGGAGATGTCTTTAAGATGTTTATGATTTAGAATGTATGTAAAACTGACATCTTAGAGACATCTGTCAGATGTTTGTACACAGCAGATGCTTTCCAGATGAAACGATCTTTAACAGACATCTTGCAGACGTGTGCTATCTAGCTTTCGCCTCCCAGTGATGACATCACATCAAGCGCCCTTACTCAGTGTTTGGTTTTCTGAGGCGGCCAGCTTGGTGTTTTGCTTATTTATATAATAAAGAAGACACAATTTGCTTAAGAAACCATTTTAAATGAGTGGTTGCTGATTTGTTTTATTGGGTATTGTGTCATCTGTGCGTCTTTTATTAATCTTTTTCATCTATTATGAGTATGGTGTTTTACTAAACCTTTAAAGACGTACGTAAATGTAAATGAAGTTTGACAACACACATTGGAAACACACAAATATTGTGGGGTTTAGTAATGACCGGCACTTGTATGTATAATGAAAGAAGAGTTAACATATTGTCACTCATTGGCCCGATTAACCTGAAGCACTCAAAACAAGCACTACAAAATAAAAGAACACAAATTACCTACACTCCATACTTAATGGCATTTAATGATTTATCGTTTAAGTAGATTACATTTTCATGAAAACATCTTGTGGCGTCATTGTTACATTCATGCATGTTATGGCTGTGCTTTCGTTGCATTTACACAATTTGTCCATCAGGTGCAGGCCCGTAGCCAGCTATGAGTTCACCTAGGTCCAAGGGTGTTGTGTAATATGGAAATGAAATAATATATATGTATTGAATGTATTTATATATATGTACATGTATATGTATATGTGTGTGGCTGTACATACACATATGTAGTTGTTTTTTGGTGTTTGGCTTAGTGTTATGTTAGAATCATTATTATACTTTATTTATTTTGTTTTCATTTAAATGTTTAGTTTTGAAATGTTGTTGTATGCATTTGTCATTTTTATTGAATTTATTTTATTTTCTTAAGTGTGTATATATATAGTATTTATAGAGTTTTAGCTTTTAGTTTTAACTACTTTTTCTTATTTGTAAGTCGCTTTGGCTAAAAGCGTCTGCTAAATGACTAAAAGTAAAAGTAAAGTAAAAGTAATATTCGGTTCCTGTGAAAAACTGTTCCAGCTGGTGGAGTTAACGTGAATAGTCATTAGTTCGCTTGTTGTGGGCGTGTCCTTGAAACAAGCAAACGAATGGAGCTGAAAATATTAGTGCAAGCTCCTCAAATAGCTACTTGTTTAATGGATTATTTTGAACAGGTAATGAAGTGTCAATGTTAAGCATTGAAGCATTAATTGCAACAGTGTCAAAACAATGCAGTTTGTGTAATATGATAAATCGTCTGTAAGCTGTTTTACTTGATTGATTTCAGGCACACAGCAAAACAATAAGCGAATAACCTATGCTAACCTTGGGTAATATAGTTTCTTATTTTTATACATTTAATTTGTGGGGCATTAATTGTAGTTTGAATAGTTTGATTAGCCTATAGTTGGCTACTGGTGACTATTACTGCAGTGTGTTCACAACAGTGCTTGAAACAGATATATCTGCCGCCTAATAAATAAAGCTATAGACCAATTTAGAGTAGACGTCACAGTTACGTCACTTGCAGCTGCGCGCGCATAGTGGTTGCAGCAAAACACTGGGAACAAGTGGAGATAAATGGGTAAAATCCATGGAATAAAAGAAAAAATATCGTTGAATAACAGTGCTTATCGCTGGGTGACAAGCTCTTGTAATATGCGGAGAACATTTTGAAAATGATATCTAATCAATATAATTTATAATCTTTTTAAACCTAATTATATTGTACCCTATCCGTGAAATTCTCTAGCCATAAAGGCTATCTCTCCCGGGTTTTCTGCAACCATGATGCGCGCGCATCCTGAATGTTTACAAACCTATAATTGGTCTATAAGCTAGCTATCCTGTGTCATTTATAAAATCTTGTTTAGTTTGTATATAGCCAGTGTTTCTGTTACCTAAATAAGCTACAAACATACATACTGAGAACAATTTTTCTTGCAGTTAAAATGTTAATATTGTAATCATTATCATTTGTAATTGATTATATAATACAGTGCATAAACCTTAAAGCATTGTTCTGATGCAGTCTTCTTGGACAGGTCAGCAGCTACTCCAAGAATAGTATTTTTAAATTTGGGTAAGAAATATGTCTCATCATCACCAATGTTATAATATGTCTTTGATTTGCTTTTGTGATGTTTCCACATATATTCATCATCATGTACAGTCACTGTCTGTTTCAGATTGGATGAGAGAGCTGAAATCACTGGTACAGTAGTTGATCATGAACTGGACATACATGGAGGCTGTTCTGATCGAGTGCCAATAAATATCTCAGGCACTCACTTAATTTTGCATTGCTTCATTCCACATGCATACTTTCACACAACTTTCCTGGTCTTTTCAATTTGAGTTATATTCATAAAGCAATTACATCTGTACTTGTCATAGTAACATTTAATGAGCCAATCAGCAGATATGGGGATGGTTAGGAGGCCATGATGGTCAGAGGCCAATGGGCGAATTTGGCCAGGATGCCAGGGTTACACCCCTACTCTTTTTCAAAGGACATCCTGGAATTTTTAATGACTACAGAGAGTCAGGACCTTGATTTAACGTCTCATCCGTAAGACGGTGCTTTTTGTCAATATAGTGTCCCCGTCACTACACAGGGGCATTAGGAACCACACAGACCACAGGGTGAGCACCTGTGGCCTCACTAACACCTCTTCCATCAGCAACCTAGTTTTCCCAGGAGGTCTCCCATCCAGGTACTGACCAGCTCAACCCTGCTTAGCTTCAGTGGGTAACCAGTCTTGGGCTGCAGGGTGATATGGCTGCTGACAAATGGTCAATATATACGAAGAGACACGAGGATCCACACTAAAGAGAAGCCGTTCACATGTGATCAGTGTGGGAAGAGTTTCACACGAAAAGGACATCTTAACAAACACATGAAAATCCACACTGGAGAAAAGCCGTACTCATGTGATCAGTGTGGGAAGAGTTTCAGAACATCAAGTGTTTTTAAAATTCATCTGCGTACTCATTCTAGTGAAAGACTATATAACTTTGAGCATTGTGGTAAACATTTTTTTAGGACAAGTGCCCTAAAGAGGCATCAGAAAGTTCATACAAAGGAGAAGCCTCATGTGTGTTCTTTGTGTGGAAAGAGTTTTAGTCAGAAGGTTGCATTAAAAATACACCAGAAAAGACACAGCGGTGTGAAGGATTATGCTTGCTCTGAGTGTGGGAAGACTTTTTTTTACAGATGGTGAAGTGAAAATGCATCAGTCAGTTCACACTACAGAAACACCTTATAAATGTTCACACTGTGACAAGAGATTCAAACGGTCACAATGTCTGAAAATACATGAGAGGATCCACACTGGAGAGAAGCCGTATCACTGCCATTCATGTGGCAATTTTTTCTTTCAGTTATCTTCTCTAATCTATCATAAAAAAGATGCATGTCTGAAATTACAGTAAGTAGTTCAAGTGTTGATCTGTACTTCCAGGCGTGATGCTGTGTAGAGCCGCATCAAGCGATTATTTTGATAATCAATTAATATGAGATTATTAGAATGATTAGGCCTAATTGACTCACTGTTGATTATTTCAGAGATTTATCAGATTATCAGCTAGAATTACGAATACTATTCAATTATTTATTACAATACAAATAAATATTTTTATAAATATTTTTTATGTATTCTTCAATAAAATGGATTTCATAGGGCCTTATTAATCTTGGCTGTCACATCAGTAAGCTGTAAAGGGAATGGAGACGGCAAGCTGAGGCAAGGATCTAAATGTAGGGGAATTTTAATAAAGAGACAGGAAAACACTAGAGAAAGGAATGCGAGAACTCTTAACACCAAACAATGACTGAAAAAGCACAAGAGAAACACAAGGGCTATATATATACACACAAGGGAAACAAGCTTAACAATATAACAAGGAATTGGAGCAGGGAAAACACTTCAAAATAAGAGTCCATGACACAAACACTGGAAATATATAACACTGCCCATGATGTAAACCAACATTAACTGTACTGTGTTAATAGAAAGTCAGACAATATAAATATTTTTATTATGAAGTATTTTTCCAAAATTGATTTTGAATAGCATTTTCATGTTGAGAAAGGTGGTCGTAGCTGGGCACCGCCGGAGTGCATCCACTCTTAGAAAACAATGTGTTCTAATTTTGAAGACTTGACAAGGCTATGCGCTTCTCGTCCGGTGTGCGACCCCCTTAAGTGGGCTGTGTGGGGGCAGGACAGGAGTGGCACTACTAGGTAGAACAAAGGGAAGTTCATTTAGATTTAAAATATCTAATTGGGTGATGATAATTTGTGTGCAACAATTCCACATGAATCTCCAAAAATAAACACATTAATTAAAAATGAAATCTCTTTCTTGTTGCCCTCACTGTACTGC